TATGGTCCATGAACGGCGGAAATTCCACTGCTTTAATGAGATAGATGCGACCCTCTGTAAGCTAAACTTCTGGCGTATATTTTATCTCTAGAATTGTCTTTGCTAGGTAATTAAAATTAAGTGCATTAAAAATCGTTCAAAAATAATTACTTCATCTTATGAAACTTAGAGAGGAGGATTCATTCCGTTGTCAAAAAATTGAAAAATTTTTTATTTGAAGTTAGGAGTTCGCTGAGAGTGTTGGTATCATATTTTTGTAGATCTATTTTATATCGAGAAGCGGCAGAGTCTGTAAAATAAACTGGCTTCCGTGTAGTGTATATTGTTGGGAGTCCAGAGCATTTCAGAAATCCAAAACATTTTCGAAGTCCGCTGTTCCAGCCTTTTCAGTGACTTTGTCTGTCTTTCCGGTGTTTTTGAATTGCTCGCTTGATTGCTATGCTTTAGGCCGTTTGCGTTAGGGAATTTCGAGATTTCAGCAGGTCTCACAGTGACTCCTTTTGGTTGACATTTAGACTATAATCCGTGATAAGGAGAACGAGTTGACGAATGTGCGGGCAACGATGGAGCAGAACGAAGAGGTAGTGGTCCGGGTGTATCTGGAAAAGGAAAGACTCTGGAAGGAGCAACTCGCCGATCTCAAGCACAAGTTACAGGTATGTACTGTTCCAGCTTATCAGCATGCTCTCCTTCCCAGTCTTCAAAACATCAGTCCTGTCCGGGTTCTTTATTTTTCATGGGTTTGTTCTGTTAAATTTCCAACCAACTGAACTTTGTAGTGACCAGTCCAACTGAGATGCCAGAGAGGAGCATGTTTGTGGTTTTAATGGATGGAAACATTCCCCATCAAATTTGTTTTTATCTTTTTCGCTTCCCTTGTATACTCTGTCAAATCCTTCCTTGGTTTCGCTCGTGCCTTAAGAAATAATCTACAGTTATAAACAACTAAAGCACCAATTTATCAGTCAAATATCCAGTGATATTAGATCCTTAAGAAATTTACACGGATTAAAAAGGATGATTTAGGCCAGCCAGCAGGGCGAAAGCGCACTACGGCAGCAAATACAACGCTGTAATGAGCAAAGGGAGCAGTTCCAAGCAACCATACAAAATCTTACCAGCGATAAACAAGGACTCCAGCGCAAGGCGAGTTTAATCTTCATCAGAAAGCCGAAATGAGGGTACTGCCGAAATGTTTCAAGGTCCATTTGTTGGGCTGTTTTGAGTCTTAGCAAATCAGGAATCGCGGTTTTCTTCCACCTTCCGTCCATTAACATAGGTATTCTCAGAGGGTACTTTGGAACCGTTTTTGCGAAAATATTTGTCACCCGGAAATGGCGCGGCAAAGCGGAAGGTATTACAGTTGTTCTCGAGGGCTCGATTTTGCTAGTTGGATAACCAACTGCCCTGCGATTCGTTCATTCCTTTCGATGATGAACTGGT